ATTTATCAAAAAAGAAAGTCTTAAGTCCAGTCTTAAAACTGGACAATGTGTCAGTCTTATGGACAGAAAATGGAAGTTGGTTCCACAAGAGAGGAGCCTGATAACTGAAAGATCTGCCTCCCATTCTGCTTTTGGAAACTCTAGGAACCACAAGTAAACCTGCAGTCTGAGAGTGAAGAGCTCTGTTAGGAAAATATGGAACAATAAGATCTGTAACATAAAATGGAGCTAGGATGTTGAGAGCTTTGTAGATTAGAAGTAAGATTTTGAATTCTATTCTGGATTTGACAGGGAGTCAATGGAGAGAAACTAAAACTGGAGAGATATGATCTCTCCTACTAACTCCAGTAAAGACTCTGGCAGCAGCATTTTGGATCAACTGAAGACGTTTTAAAGAAGTATTTGAACATCCAGATAATAAACCATTGCAATAGTCCAGTCTAGACGTGACAAATGCATGGACCAGTTTTTCTGCATCATTTTTAAATAAGATGTTTCTGATTTTAGTGATATTACGCAGGTGGAAGAAGACAGTTCTAGTAACGTTTTTAATGTGGGGGATAAAAGACATGTCCTGATCAAAAATAACACCAAGATTTTTAACATTAGAGCTGGAGGACAGATTAATGCCATCTAAGGAGGGAGAAAGACTGAAAAATGTATTCCTAAAATGCTAAAGTCCAAAAACCAAAACCTCAGTCTTCTCTGAAAGACCTGGGACCTGTTGTTGTCTTTGTCAGCAGTTTTTGTTTTAGCCAACTTTAAAAAACATTCTTTACCACAGACAAGTTGTTTAAACCTCCAGCTCTTGTTACGAAGCCAGAGCTTCATGTTTGGATGTTAGGATGCTGATCCACTTTCATGGAGATGAGTTTGCATCAGAACCATCTGACCAAAGTCCTGAGCACTGAGTTCTTCCAGCAGGCCATCCAGAAGTTACATAGAAACTTTAAAATAAAACCACAGAATGACTCACTGAGAGGTCCTGGTGAACAGGCCTGCATGAGACGTGTGTTTGGGAGCAGTCAGACTGGACGTATTGTGTGGATCTGTGTGTGAGACTGATCTTTCCTTCCTCCAGCAATCATTGAACAATAGAAGCTAACCTTTAACCAAGTTCATCTGGACGTCCAGGCGGCTAAGAGGAAGCTATGACCTTAGTAACATTTGTCTCTGGACCCTGGGACTGAGCTGGCACCGGATGTGTTTCATTTAGAGTCTAATTAGTCCTCAGGGAAGAGGTTCCTGTGGCCCAGAAATTCAGTGTGTGTAGAGTACTGCAGTCTGACATCTGCTGACGGTTTGTTTCTTCTCTTGTCTGCTAACAGCTCTGTGATGTGGACCCAGGGTCAGTTGTGTTGTCACTGTGTGGAGGGTGTAACGGTCAGTGGTTGGACCAGTGCAGGCAGACACGGGGAGCACAAAGTAAAATAAAAACTGAGCATGTTATCAGTCCAACGTGTTTCCTTTTGATAGTATCGCATTCAGATTAGTTTTAACCCCAAAATAGGCAAACTGACAGAGTCCTACACAGATAAAAAGTATATTTTATATTTAGAGGAGTGATATTTACACAGGATTATCTGAAAAGTAGAGTTACATATAGGGTAATTATAAGGATCTGTTGGAAACAAGAGGCCTTCAGGGATAATGTTAGTAAATTTTTCTTACAGATCTTGATGTGGAGAACAGCTTGGAAAGGAGGGTGGAGATCCCAGGTGAGTGGTGACACAGATATGTGCTTTGTAGGAGAGTGGCAGGACGGAAACCAGGAGAACTTATCCATTGTCAAGGGGCATAGTTGGTTACAGGTGATTCTGGAAGCTCAGGAGATAAGTGGTTCCAGGTAGAACTCTTCATAAGGGGCAATTACAAGGAGACTTGAAGGAAGGTGAGTTTTTATAAGGAGTAAAACCCAAACGGGTCTAGACTTGAGAAAACATAAGAAATAAAACACTGGTTACTATCTCGAGGAAACTTGTCACTTACTGCAGGGGCTGTTCAAAGTTACCCAGAGACTTCAATGAAGCAGCGTTGTAATGTCTTAAGAACAACAGTTCTCATCAGAACTGGGTTAGGAGCAGGTGTGAGAGATTGGCTCCGCAGAAGCAGGCAATGGCAAAAAACAGAATCTCCACAACTACAGCGCTTTGTAAAAGTATTCGGCCCCCTTGAACTTTTCAAACTTTTGCCACATTTCAGGCTTCAAACATAAAAATGTAAAATTTTAATTTTTTTGTGAAGAATCAACAACAAGTGGGACACAGTCGTGAAGTGGAATGAAATTTATTGGATGTGTCAAACTTTTTTAACAAATAAAAAACTGAAAAGTGGGGCGTGCAATATTATTCGGCCCCCTTGTGTTAATACTTTGTAGCGCCGCCTTTTGCTGCAGTTCCAGCTCAAGTCTCTTGGGGTTTGTTTCTATCAGTTTTGCACATGGAGAGACTGAAATTCTTGCTCATTCTGCAAAACAGCTCGAGCTCAGTGAGGTTGGATGGAGAGCGTTTGTGAACAGCAGTCTTCAGCTCTTTCCACAGATTCTCGATTGGATTCAGGTCTGGACTTTGACTTGGCCATTCCAACACCTGGATACGTTTATTTGTGAACCATTCCATTGTAGATTTGGCTTTATGTTTTGGATCATTGTCTTGTTGGAAGATAAATCTCCGTCCCAGTCTCGGGTCTCTTGCAGACTCAAACAGGTTTTCTTCCAGAATGGTCCTGTATTTGGCCCCATCCATCTTCCCATCAATTCTGACCATCTTCCCTGTCCCTGCTGACGAAAACCAGGCCCAAACCATGATGCTGCCACCACCATGTTTGACAGTGGGGATGGTGTGTTCAGGGTTATGAGCTGTGTTGCTTTTACACCAAACATATCGTTTTGCATTGTGGCCAAACAGTTGGATTTTGGTTTCATGTGACCAGAGCACCTTCTTCCACATGTCTGGTGTGTCTCCCAGGTGCTTGTGCAAACTTTAAACAACACTTTTTATGGATATCTTTGAGAAATGGCTTTCTTCTTGCCACTCTTCCATAAAGGCCTTAGAGATAGGGTGAGCAGTTCTGTTATTCGGGAGAGACTCGGAGTAGAACCGCTACTCCTCCACGTAGATAGGAGCCAGTTGAGGTGGTTCAGGCATCTGGTAAGGATGCCCCCTGGGCGCCTCCCTAGAGAGGTGCTTCGGGCATGTCCAACTGGGAGGAGACCCCGGGGTAGACCCAGGACACGCTGGAGAGACTATGTCTCTCAGTTGGCCTGGGAACGCCTTGGAATCCTCCCAGAAAAGCTGGAAGAGGAGGCTGTGGAAAGAGATGTCTGGGCCTCCCTGCTCAAGATGCTGCCCCTGCGACCCGACTTCGGAATAAGCGGAAGATAATGGATGGATGGATGTATATCTCTCCACCACACATTGGTAGAAGCTCCTCAGGACACAGCTCCCAAGTCCAGCTCTTCACAGCTTCCTGAGGATGTAGAGACACTGGTGGGTCTTCTTTACCAGACAGGAAGTGTTGGCTCTCCAGGTCAGGTCACTAGATATATGCACACCCAGGTACCTGTAGCAGGAGACCATCTCCAGGTACCTGGGGATGCATATATCTAGTGATATATGACACGTTAAACTGTCATGTTATTACACTAGTTACACATGAGCTGGAGTGGAAATCAGAAGGATTTTTTTTAAAACCTGCGCTCAGTGTCAGGGTTCATTGCTGCAGCTGCAAATAGAATTACAGATACAAAAATCGTTAAAAATCACAGCAGAGCTCATCAAATGTTACTGAAGTCTGAAAACTCACATTCCATTTCCATTTAATGAAAGGCAGCTGATCATGTAATCACTGGTTTCTGTGTGCTTTTCTGTCTGAATGTTAGCAAAATATGTCATGAACCACTGGATGGTTTTAATGAAACCACTTTGAGTTTTGTGGACAAATACAGATTTCTGATTGTTGAGGTTCCTTTTCGTTGCAACTCCTGTTTTTGTGCTTCCTCTGACTTTAGTTTGAAACACCTGACAGGTGATACTGCAGCTAACTTCACTCTGCTTCCAGGAAGGATACTTTTTAAATGTATAAATGTTGTCCTTCAAGATACAGCAGAGATTATTAAGGCACAGAGTCAAAGTCCACATCACTGGTGTTGGGGTACATTGGTGCTCTGACCAATGACAGGACAGGAAGCTGCTTCTGACCTCACTGAGTTTTTTCTGTTTACAACAAAAAACAATGCTGGTTTTCAAAGACTATCACTGGCAGCATTTCCCCAACGGTTCTGCTTGGTTAGTTGTCAGACGAATATGGTCAATGAGACAAAGAATTCCAGTTGATGTCTTTTTAATAATGGAATTTTGCAGATTTTTTTTTTTCACTTACAGAGAAAACATCAGAAAGTGATGGAATGAGAAACTGTTAAACAGAGACACAGCTTTTCTGTAATCTGAGACATTCAGATCAACATCTTTGAACTTTTTTTTTTGAATGTCCAGAGGACCAGATTGAACTTTTTTGGATTTTTCTACCTGGATTATTGAGCATGTATCAGGATATTGAGCATGCATCAGGAAACATCTTTGAACGTTAATGAACTCAACTGAACTAAAGCAGCAGAAGCAGCGAGTCACACCAAGAGAGGAACTCAAACAGCCCGAGCTCTGCCAGCAGGAGCTTGGTCAGATGTGTCTGTCTGTATGCTGATGATGGCACTGTGAGCACATTAACATTTATAATACAAAGGTAAATACAAGTATCCCCGGAGGTCATAGCACATGGTGTGGCTTTGTTTTCTCCCCCACCGCAGAGAATTGCTCATGTGGAAACACGTACAAACGTTTATTAACTTATTACATACCATAAGATGGTGGGGCGGGCGGTTCTATTGAGGGGCTGTGGCACCCTCCTTTGATTACGCTAGAGGAAACGCTGACTGTTTTTTAACAATGAAAAGTTTGACTCAGTAATAAAGGATTTAAAGCAAGTTTTTTTTGTTGTTTTAGAGAATGGGCAGTAGCATGCAGAGTGAAGAAGGAACAAAATGGCTGCTGGAGCTTCTGATGGAGGTGCAGCTGCAGCAGTACTTTGAACGGATCAGAGACGAGCTCAACGTCACACGGCTGTCGCACTTCGACTACGTCAAGAATGAAGACCTGGAGAAAATCGGCCTGGGCCGACCTGGTGAGGCAAAATACTTGCAGTCTTGTTGTGTGCACATAGTTTATCTGCTCTAAACTGTAGCTCAGGAGTTTTGGGATGAGAGTCGAGACATCACAAGACAAGCAGCCAAGTCAACGTGAGCTAATAGATCCTTTTGTGGTTGCAGAAAAACTGACCTCCTTAGTATTCTCTGTTAGTATTCTCTGTTAGTATTAATATTCTGTTAGTATTCTCTGTTAGTATTAATATTCTGTTAGTATTCTCTGTTAGTACAGTAGTCCCTTGCTACTTCGTGGTGCGTTTTTTTGCAGACTTGCTCTATCACAGTTTTTCAAAGTAAGATAGGACATGACACACAATCAGCTGAATGATGGATGAGCTGCATGATCGGCATGGAATTTTTATCTAAAATAAATTATTTTAAATTATTTAGCACCTGTTGCACCTGTGTGCATCATACAGCTTTAGGAGAAACTTCCTCCTGCAGCTGTCATATCTCCGCTCTGCAGCGGAGAAGTGGGCGTGGCAGAGAGCGCTGGCAGGTGGCAGAGAGCAGCCGAAGGCAGAGAGCTGAGCTCATGACATTCAGTGTGGAAAAGGTTTAAAATACCTTTATACACACACACACACGCACACACACACACACACACACACACACACACACACACACACACACACACATATATATATATATATATATATATATATATATAGACATACATACAATAAACTATTGCTTACTACTTGTACTACTATTCCTACTTAGCGGTTTTTCATTTATTGCGGAGCTTCAGCGTACGAATCTCCCGTGATAAACAAGGGAATACTGTGTTAATATTCTCTGTTCATATTCTCTGTTGCTATTCATTCTGTTAGTATTAGTATTCTGTTAGCATTAGAATTCTTTCTGTTAGTATTCTCTCTGTTAGTTTTTTTCTCTGTTAGTATTGGTATTTTCTGTTAGTATTCTCTGTTAGTAATAGTATTCTTTGTTGGTATTAATCTTCTCTCAGTTA